ACACAGAGAAACCCTGTCTCGAAAAAACAAAACAAAACAAAAAAACAAAAAACAAAACAAAAAAAAAAAAAAGGAAAGAAAAGAACCTTCGACCCCGGCATTTGGGAGGTAGAAGTAGGAGGGTCAGAAATTCAAGAGTGGTCTCAGGAGAAAACAAAACACAAAAACTCAAAAACTCAAAAGAATCCTTTTGCATTATTTCTGGTTGTCCACTTGTTCTTCTAGCCCAGCCCCGGGAATATGTTCAGGCATCAAACTGCCCTAGCTGAAGGCAGCCTGCCACAGACGTGAAGTGTGACTATGGATGTAAGCATTGCTTTTAGAGGACTTTCCTGTGTGAGTAAGTTCTTACACCCCAAGCCCTATTTCCCACAGGAGGAAACAGGCGAAGGACGTCATCTAAGCAGGCAGAGCTGCAGAAGCAGATCACAGTAGCAGATGCCGAGGTCTCAAAATAAGTTGAAGAACTTCAACCTTGAAATCAACAGATTAATGTTGCCTGCAGGATTCAGTGGGTGTGCCAGACACGTTCATTGCGTGCTGGCTCAGGATGTGAGAACATATTAGATATGAACTTTAAAAAGAACTCTAGAAAATGGAGAAGTAGTCCCAGTTTAAAAGGAAGAGATGACAGAAGACTGAGAAATGAAATGCCATGCATTTGTGAACTGTCCCAGTCTGGGTTTTCCTAGCCTCACCAGCCCATGTCCCAGTGCTCTCTGACCTACTTTCTCTCCTTCATCCTCTCCTCTCTTCTTTGCTAAGTGATAGTGAGCACAGAAAAAAACTAAGGCTCACAGGAAGTTCTCTTCCCAAGCTGCTGTTTAAGATTCATATGCTATGTTCACTTACTAGAATTTATTCTAAAACTAATCCAACTGCTACACTTAGGCGATGTTGGAATTCAGTTGTCAGCTTGGAGCAATCTTACCTACACATCAATGGAGTTAGAAGAATTTCATTCACTCTTACCATTTTGCAAACCGAACATCTTTTACTTGCTCCCTTTTCTCCACAGGTGGTGCAAAACTCAACATCCACAAACCCCACTTGTCCTGTGATGGCTTGGGTAAGTACAGAGAACGCAGTTGGATCCGATCCCTAGGAGTGTGAAGAGGAGAAAATATCCACTGAAATCCCCATGGAAGACCACAGAGATATCACTGGCACATGGTGTTGACTAGAAATGGTAGCAAGGAAGGAACCACTAATCATGATAAGACAGACTCTATGATGAAGAATCAGTCTTTCGAGTGCACCTTCTTCTACACAAATTATATAACAGGTAAGGCATGATCTCCATAAGTGAGAGAATACAAGTGTGGCCAGTTAGTATTACTCTTCATGCTAGCTTCAGAAACAGGACAGTGAATTGCAGATTTTTTTTCTGAGAACTGACATTAAGCCAATATTGATATCCTATGGAATAAACACAGAGCCCTCCCTAATGTCTATCAACTCCTAAAGCATTGTAATATTCTTTTAAATGTTCTGTCCTCTTTAATAAACACACATGTAATAATTGCATCATATGCTTTAAAAATGTGAAATTTATTGTTATGAGACTGCTAAAAAACAGGTTGTAAAAAATGTATACAAGAATTTATGGAGAAAATTATAAAGATAAATACTCATCTGCCTGAAGCAAAGGTATTGAAACCTTTCTAAGATAGCAAAAATAACAAGATGTTCAACTGATCTTCTTATCTGCTATGTGTTCAATGTTCTGGATTTTTAGATTTTGCACACTTATTCCCAAGCAAAGCTTTGCCACTTTCCCTAATTGTCATCTGAGTCTTTACCTCTTCCTTGTGGAGAACTGTGTTTTTCTATTACCTTACCAACTGTCACATTGGATCTTTAACTAGTGTCACTTGACAACAACGCTCCTTACTTTCCTACATACTGAAGAAAGGTTAAGAAAATAGTCAGCAGATTGAAGTTTTTTTTTTTTTTTTTTTTTTTTTTTTTGGTTTTTCGAGACAGGGTTTCTCTGTGTAGCTTTGGAGCCTATCCTGGCACTCGCTCTGGAGACCAGGCTGGCCTCAAACTCACAGAGATCCGCCTGCCTCTGCCGCATGAGTGCTGGGATTAAAGGCGTGCACCACCAACGCCCAGCTTCAAGAAGAATTTTTAAAAGCTGCATTCCAAACTGTCACATTCCTGAATGCAAGAAACTTTCCATGTGGAAGGGCTAAGGGTTTTCTTTTGAAATAAATGAAGTAGTAAGGAAAAATTAGGCAAAATGAGCCTACATTGATTTCATATTTCTCAGGAATGAAGGCACACAGCCATTGTCCTCAAATATTGACATGTGTCCTGCTTGCTAAAAATGGAGGTCTATCCATTTAGTCCATACTCTCTCCATCATAATTCCTGTGGCTGTGGTCTAGGAGCCTGCAATATTAATACCCCCAGGAATACCAATATATACTAAAAGTGTCAAATTGTGGGCTTAATATTATACTGAATCTTTATAAATCTCTGTATTTTTGCTGCA